AACTAGAACACCAGTGCCTTCTATCTTGCCAATTTCAGTGGCTTCTTTTTAGTTATCTTTATTTGCTCTCTTTACATCTTCGACACTGGTGGCCACTTCTCCTTCCTCTAAAATCTCTTAGCTTCCTCATTCCTTTTATTTTTCCACCCACTTTTTCATGTAGACATGTTCTATCTTTAGCCCTATTAAGTTCTCAGTAGATTTCAATCGATACCTTTAAATTTCTAGCCATGGCTTTTCTTAAGAACTTCACATTCGTATTTCCATTCACTTAGTGGATTCTTCTCCCATGATGGCTTGCAGAAACTTAAAACACATATACTAAGACATGCATTCTCATTCCCCACATCCACTCTGTAATTGATACCTGTATGTCACTACTGCTAAACTGTAAGTTTTTTCAGAAATTCAGGTATTTCACTTGTCTTTGGTCTCTTAAAACCTGGCCTAGTGCCTGGCACAGTGTAGATGCTCAGTAAATATTTGATAAATTAATGATGGAATGTTGGCAACAAATATGCATTTGGTATTATTAATAATACTTGAGAAATGCCATAATGTAATTGCAAGTGGAGCGTAAAAGCATTGGTTTTAAATAAAAACCTTCTTTTAGTTAAATTATACCCGACAAATATCCCCAGTATGTTTCCCTGAGTTGCCTTTGATGTACCTCTGACTTGATACAAGGGCAGTACTAGAGGATTTTTGTTATTTGACCCATGTTTCTAAGGGATTCCAGAATGAAGGCAGATTCTAGAATACAGCTAGAAGTTTTTGTCTGGAGTTTTTGGTAATAAATCAAAATGAGATGCAGAACTCACTGGGTAGCAATAGTGGTGTCAGGTGCATAACTAGTGATTTGAGTCAAGTAAGCAAGTCTGCCTACAAGCTTTAATGGATTTGAGGTCCGACAGTTCTTCCATTAAAGATTAAAGTAACTGACAGAGACAGATTGTTAACCAAACTTTCTTCTCATTTTCCCTTTGAATTATTAAGCTAACCACACCTCCACCCATGTAGCTAATACTATAGTGCTCTCTTAATCACGACCAAATCTTAAATCAATCCAGTTTGCTTAGACTGTTCTCCTTCATTTCAGTGACATTAGTAAAGATCTTTATCCCTGAAGCTACATTTCCTTTCCCCTCTGTGGCACACATCTCATGAAGGCTAATTTGTTAACAATATGTTAACGTTTCTTGGAACCAGTTAGCTTTAGAAAGGAGAAAAGCTTAAAGATCGCAGTTCTTTACCAAGCAGCCATGAAAGAACATAGAGAACCTCTTCCGTTTCTTAAAGTTGTACTGTTATTTCTGGTGCTTGGCCACACCTGCTTTGCAAATCACAGTTGCATGCCTTAACAGCATAAAGTCATTAACTCTCAGTGTTGTACCTGGTGCCCACTTCTATTTCCCATGGGTTTCATAATAGTCCCTGTAGTTTCCCCAAATTTGAGCAGCTCGTAGCACATATAGAAGGTTCTCAGGGAGCCTGTGATGAACAGGTAAACAGCAAGATCTCATTTGCCTTTGTCTTTGTTGAAATTTGGACAAACAAGAAAATGACTGCCTTTCTCCTTTTAAATAAAACACTTTTTGTTCCTCCTACCTACTCCAACTCTCTAGAAGTCTAAGAAAGAGTGTCAGTACTTGCCGTAATGTTGTCCTTGATCTCAGTAGATTCCCTGCTTGACACAGATTCTGTGCCCAAGATTGCTACGTATTATGGACATCTTCGTTTCACCTAGGACTAATCACATATGCAAAATTCTGCCAAGTGTTGATTTGCTCGTGGAGAGCTGTACTTAACTCTTCCCCCATTTTATGATGACTTTATTTGGCATCTCTCTTTAGCTCTGATATCATCTCCTTATTGTATAAACAGATTAAAGTTGTCATTCTCCTTGAACAAGAAGATTGCAGGAGAGGAGCTCTGAGAAAGTGTAGTGGATAGAAAATGAATCACAAGTTGGATGCAAATAGAAGACAGAAGATGGACTTAGAAGAGCAAAATATAGACAGGAAGATGAATGGGAGGAGAGCCAGATGCAAGGAATATCATTTCAAGAGATTAGACTATAGAAACAAGCTGATTTAGATAAACCAGGTAGATGTAAAAATCACATTCCGAAAAGGATTTTTGATTAAGGAGAATTACAAGCTACATAAAATAGGAAAAGAAATTATATCATTTTTAGACCCTTAGAGATATCAGAGGATGCTGCTATGTGGAATTTGTTTGACTTACAAACATCTTTTACTCAAACTCAAGTACTAGAAATAAGAAGTGATCGTTGAATAACTGGGTTTAAAAAGATATGAAAAACGAGAAGCAAATAGAATGATAGCTAACTTTACCATTGGTAAAGTTGATAGTCATGAACTTTACCAACCTGAAGAAATTAGAACTCAATTATTTTGCTCTGTTCCCAAACCCTGTGCCACAATCAGTTCAGCAAGTTTAAGAAAGTGTTAAAAGAGTCCTGGGTGTATGAGAATGCTTGTTATCTTGTTTTTTTTTTTTTTTTTTTTTTTTTTTTAGCTAAACTGAACATATATGAGGGGGCAACAATCTCCCATAACAAATTCCAGATATAAAAATAATTCAGCATAATTATCTCTATGGAAAACCAAATTTGGTCTTGAATAAAATGCAAGGAAATTAGGTAGTGATTATTAATCAGATATGGTCCAGTGGACATTTATTATATAAATCTCCACTATGTGGTAAAATGGACACGGACTGTTTCAGCCAGGCAGTGATGCTGCCAGTATACTCGATTAAATTCTTCAAAGTGTATTCCATTTTCTTCCCTAAGACAATCTCTTAATTTCTCATCTAATTACTCAGACATCATTTTTGGAACGTATCACATTCCGCAGGATGAACTTACAAACTGCCAACCCTCAACTCCTTTTATTTAAGCCATAGCCTTACAAGGTTGAAAGCATAGTAACAAGCCAAAATACATTTTTTCTCAAGACCTTGGGATGTGGCCAGATAAATGCTTAGAGTCGTTGCATTTGCTGACTTGCTGTTTTGCTGGCATACATTTCTTCACCGTTTCATCCTACGCCTTTGTTCTGAGTTAGGTTCTTTCCTGTAAACTGGTTAAGGGATCCACTAGCAATGAGCTATTTTCTTTCCTCTTGCTGACGCATATATAACTTTAGCAAGCTCAAAACCATTTGTCGTTAGGTATTATGCTCATTTAACGAACTGCTTTCACTGTCACCATTCATTTCTGCAGTGTGCTGAACAGCTAAGTTTTTTGCCCTTAATTGATAAATAAATTGGGCGGGGTGGAGAGAAATTAAATTTCTGTGGAGCTCACTTTACTTCAGAATTAATGCCAGCAGTTTCCCAGCTGTAAATTGATACAGAGACTCCTTTAGTTATTCTAGTTACCAAGACAAAATGTAGGGGACATTAGCACTGGCACAGTCTCTCGTAGTGACTGAGAGGTCACTAGAAGAAGTAAGCACCAACTCTTTCCTTTAATATGGTCATCCTAGGACCAGTCAACTTTCTCCTAATGGCAAAATAGAACCAGAATTTCAATACATTTCAGGTGTTTTTTAATTGATAGAAAAACTAAACACTACAGGGCACTATCATTTTCATGGATTTTAATTCAATACTATTACTTGAATATGTACTAGTATTTCCCAGAGTAAAGAATATGAAGAGACACAATGAATCTCTGTGGTCACCATATTTATTCATGTTGTCTTATATACATGAGTTTCTTTCAGTAGATCAACAACTCAAATGTGGGCTCTAATCTGTAGAATAATTTGATGCAGGTAGTTTATGTGAGTAGAAGTTATATAGCTTTTTGGTGAAGGTACCTTAGAAGGTTAGAGCAGTAATGGTGGGGGTGCAGAGCTACTATGCAATTATCCAGATAACTTCGCTAGAAATTGCATGTGATAAAACTTGCAATTAGAATTATTGCTGCTTATTCCAGTGAAGGCAAAAAACTAAGGAGAGATTATACTACAGAGTGAAATATAATTAATGTTTACGGTAAGAAATGTATGTGTTTTACATATAAAGATATCAGTGTCCTTGTCAGACACACTTGCCAAAAGGCATTGTGGTGAACTCTCACACACAATGCACAAAGTAGCATACTTTGTGCTTTTTTTGAGATACTTTTATTGAGGACAGTACAATTTCCACATTGTTAGTCATCTGTCCAGTAAGTATGTGTGAACAAAGGAAAATGGCTGTGGCTAAATATGCGTTTAATCGAGACCTTGCACGGCTCTTGAAGTTTTTTAAAGATATCTTCCAAAACATGAGATTGCAAGTAAAGATCATTTCAAAGATGTCTTCTTTTTGGAGAGGAAGATACAGAAACATCACCCATCATGTATTGTGCAAATGAACCAACAAATAAACCGAATCAAAAGGAAATGAGGGAGATTATAATGGAGCTTACACTTTTGGTTTATTTCTATATGCATAAAGAGGCACTGTTTTGTATCTCCTATACAAAAGTCGTACTACTGAGTCAGTGTTACCTGGGCAGATGCATTGTGTTGTGTTTTTAATTACAGTGATGAATTTCTACTTATTTATAAAATTTGCTCACCCCACGCCACACACGTAGTCTTCTCTGGGACTGACAATAGGCATTTCTATGAAGCAGGAGGAGGTTAAAGTACAGACAATGGCCAAGAAAAACATCCAAATAAACTAGTCAGCCCATGAGGGGACTCTGCGTCACTGGCACCATTAACGTCAGATACCAACTCAGAGTCCCACACTGACCTCAGAGAGGCTCACAGTACATCCAGTTGAGAAGGCCTCGTGTTGCATTATTGAACATCATAGGATGATGCTGATTTCTGGCTTGTCATGGATGAGAGACACATATAGATATGTGACCAATAATAATTTTATACAAAATTTACCGTCACGTTACGGCATACAAGTAATTATAAGTAAACTGGAAGAGCATCAGTTGCTCATATATTTCAATTAATTTTCAGGTCCTGTGGATGTCAATATTCTAGCTAAATGTAACCCCTGCCTATCAAATCCGTGTAAAAATGATGGCACATGTAATAGTGATCCAGTTGACTTTTACCGATGCACCTGTCCATATGGTTTCAAGGTAAGTAAAAGCACTTTAAGAGTACCTTTTCTTGGTGTGCCTTTATTATTCTACTGTGCTTTCTCTATGTGCCGAGAACTGCTTTAGTTGACTTTACTTGCCCCCTTCTTCTCCAGGGGCAGGACTGTGATGTCCCAATTCATGCCTGCATCAGTAACCCATGTAAACATGGAGGAACTTGCCACTTAAAAGAAGGAGAAGAAGATGGATTCTGGTAGGTCATCAGTCTGTGATCATCTGTGTCTGAAGTATTGGAGCAAGGATCACTAAGCCAACATGCATTTTCCTTTTCAAATGAAAGAGCAGTATTTTTCAAAGAATGCTGGAGAAAGAGTACTTACTATGTATGGGTCCCTCTCGAAGATGTTGCAATATAAAAACTAAATGGAGACACTACAGTATTATCAGCTCAGGATGCTACGAAACCAAAACTAATTTACAAACATACACACATGCACATTATGGTTAATCAGGTCAGATTAGGGCAAGACAAAGTATTAATATTGGCCCTATTATACTAATTAATAGCCAACTAGTCTGCTACTGCTAGTCATATATTCATCTGTTGTTTTGCTTATTGCTTTAACAGAGTGTGTAATGATAAGATATAGGTCCCACTGAAACAGAAAATTAATGATTTATTTCCGAGATACAATATAAGTAGACAGACTTGCTGTGAATGATTTTAATCTGGAGTTTTTTAATCATATGGTACAATTATTTCAGATGTACTTCATGAATTATGAACTGGAGCTCTTTATTAAATGACACTAATAATATCACATAAGAATGCTAATATACTACTGAAACTTGTTAGAATTTCACTTTTTAGAAGAAATAGACTTCTGCATTCTGTTATGAAGTTGTCTCTTATTCAAAAATTATTCAATACGTACTCAAGATTGTTTTATGCCAGAGGAAGGATTGCATTTATTAAGACAAAGAGAACATTCACATTTTGCAATTGCAAGGAAGACAAAAATTTTATTTTCGGATTCATTTTTGTTTTAAAACATCAAGGACATTATATATATGTAATTTGAAAAATCAGAACTAGTTCCTCTTCATTTATGAGCAAAGAAGTCTGAATTATTTTATTAGAGCTCAACTCAAGATTAAGATATCTAGGGCTGTGGAATAAAGCTGCTTGTGTTTTAGACCTGCAAGTACAGTGAGTTTATTGACTTTTAAGACCATGGAACCATTTGCCTTCTTAAAACCAGCATAAATTTTATTTTTTGAATGGTTTCTGCTTGGGTGGATATTACCTTAAATTGATGTTTACAACATGTCATTTAAAAGCATTTTAAAAAATCAGTTTCTGGTAGTTAAAAGCTCTATGGTTGATTAGTGTAATTATGCTTTTTTCAATATTTAGACCACATGACTTGAAAATGCGGCAAAAAGATGTTTTTTGCTTTTTCTTCTGGCTTTCAGGTGTATTTGTGCTGATGGATTTGAAGGAGAAAACTGTGAACTCAACGTTGATGATTGTGAAGATAATGACTGTGAAAATAATTCTACATGTGTCGATGGCATTAATAACTACACATGCCTTTGCCCACCTGAGTATACAGGTACAAAGAACAGGAAATAGTTTGCCTTCAATCTGTATATCTGTTTGAAAGCATCATTGGAACTATGTTATATATGTTTAGTAAATCATTTTATTATTTGATAAATGGTAGGTGTCTTGAAAATCAGATGTAATGTAAATAACGTAAGGACTCAAAGATAGTTTCAGCTAACCAAATAAAAGACCCAGGAATCTCTGTTCAAACACATGCATCTATTATAAAGCCATGTTATCCAGTAATAAAAGAAGCTATTGTCCTAAAGCTTTTAGTCCCACAATTAAATGGCATTTTTGTACAAACCATTTTCCCTGTGCAAACCAACCCCCAGTACCTGTGTGAAAAGAGGACATTTATTTAATAGCCAACACATAATTAAGCATTTGGGATCATTCATCTTCATACTTATGTCTTTGCTAGTGAGTGTTTGCCTCTAGTAACCCATGTCCCTCAAATTAAAAGTCAGGAAGATACTGAGCACTTTGGATAGTCTTATGAGACTATCACCTTTTTTCTAACACTTTTGTTTATTTGGATGACACATCTCATTAGACTATTAATTGCTAAACTTCTTCCCTATTCAAACCAATTTGCTCTAAAGTCAACATCAAGCTTATGACTTGTCTGTTTTGTCAGAATTGATTTTTTTAATTTTTTTTGTGGCTCTGAATTAGAAACTTCATAGATATGCCCCTTTTCCTTTAATAAATCACTTAACATTGACAAGGAAAAACAAGAATGTTGTACATTTTATTTGTAAGAAAAAAAATGGAGAAGTAATTTTGGTCACTCTACTTAAAGTTGCTATTTTCATTTTCTGGGTGCATTTCATTAATTATATCTATTTTCATATAATTTAATACCTAGTGAGAAAATCAAAGGATGAAATTACAATGCAGGTGACTGGAGTTAACATCTCACAACATGAAAGATGGGCATACATCTGTATAATTAAATTTTCCCAGGGATTGTTTGGAAAATGATTAAAATGGAAGCTTTTATGGAGTACCCAAACTGAATTTTACTAGGTACCTTTCTTGATGGGAAAATACTAGGTAGAATAATGAGGCTCTGTTTTGGCAACCCAAATCTGTTTGAGTGACTCTGAAGGCTGCCTTTTCTAGGGTCTTATTTTTAATTTTTATTTTTTTGGCACCAATAAAGCACCCGATATCATGTAAAGCAGTAATAGCATACTAAGTTTCCAGCAGAAATTTGAACATGCTGTATTACCAAGTCTTATAGGACTTATCTACAGACTTTAGTCTGCTTAGTGGGTGGAATTTTAGCATTATTTGATATTTTACATGCAAGTTTCTAGAGTATCTAGAAAGAATGTAGGTGTTATGTAGCTTTGACTTTCACACTAATATTACCAATATTATCACACCTCAGAAACTTGACATTAGCCTGTGACCACAAATTCTGGAACCCTTTGAGCTACCCTGAGAATTTAACTTCATTGGATGGGCTGATTTAGACTTGTCCAAGAAGCCCAATGTTTGCACTAAAATCTGCTACCTGGTACCTTCTTAGAATAGAATAATTCTCTTTTTCCATCATTTTCCTGATCATTGTAGAAAGGGCTTAAGAACCCAGTTAATTTTGGAGGCCTCCTTAAACCAACCCACTCTCCCGACCAGACAAATTGGATCCAAGCATTTCAAGCAAACTTTGCCTAACCAATACCTTCCTAAGCACAGAACCAGGAATATATATATATATATATATTTCCTGATGAAAACGTAGGCTGTGGAGCACAACTGCAATCAGGTTCTTATATGTCTTTTTGACAATAAAATTTCTAGAAGGTGGTTGAGGACTCTTTTGAGTTGGTTTGGAGGAGTCCTCCTGCTTTGGCTTTTGATTTGCTATTCCTTATTCTTATCCATTTCTGTTGGGTCTTTGTCTTAGCTGCTCACCCTTCATTTCCCCAGCTCCCTCTCTACACCTGCTCCTCTTGAACACACGTTTTTTCCTATTCTAAGGGTCAGTTCAGAGCAGTTTCCATGGAGAAGTGTTATGAAGCCTCACTTCCCCAACTATGTCTGATCTCTTTCTTTGAAACATATCATAAATACCTAAAGCTTAGCCAAACCGTTCTTCAGCCAAAATGTGACATCTATAAAAGCTGTCATCTGGGAACTTGCCATGAGTATCTGTCAAGAGCCATTTGGCTCTCCACAAGAACTGGGACTGTTTTAGTCTTTTTACTTATAACTATTGCAAATGTCAGTTTGCCTTAATTTGGGCAAAGGATCAACAAAAATACTAAACAGAAAGTACATGGCATACAAAACATGAAGATACGACCATTTTATCTTCGGAGTGGGTCTTGTGGGCCATGAAGAGTTTGACAATTTGGCACGAGAGAAGATATCTAAATGGGGCAAATGTATAACTCATCTATTAATTGTAGTATTTTTGTGCACACGTGAAATGAGCTCATTTACAAAATTTCAAACAACCATCTGCAGATTTTGAAATCATTGACACATAAGTGACCTTTAATTATGGGAAGTAGGAATGAAGCTCTAGAGTTTTATATCCTGCTTCATCCAAGTCTGAAGTTAAGGAGGAATTTTCTTATAATGTGATTATATGGTTTTAAATTTGTGTTTGGAATCTGATTAATGAGCATGAGATCTGGGAGCAGAAGCACCGCTATGCTCAGGGAACATAATAATGTTGTCAGTGTTTAAAAATCATCCTAGTAACAAGTTCATTTTTCCTTTGAAAATTTTGTACTCTATATCCCAAAGGCATACAATGAGAAGTGAACTCTGTTTCATGGGAACAAATAATGCCATACAGAAAAAAGGCTTGTAAATTATTATGGTGACAGTTTTTATATTTGACACCTATATCAAGAGTCAGAACGGACATAATGTCAATGGAAACAAATTCAGAGATCTGTGAGCAATCTGACAGAGAAGTTGTGACGAACAGACTACAAAACATGACTAGAAATATTTAAAATAAAATGAGCCACCTATGGGGAATTTATTAAACTTTATTTAAGACCTGTGCGACCAAAATAGCACAGTAAGTAGTTACTGATTTGTTAGAGGAGAAAATTCTCTGCTCTTCCCTGCTTCGGGGATTGACAGCATAAACTGTAAGGACAAATACTGTTTTTCTATTATCTAAATCTTGCTGTAACTTCACCACCCTAGTCACCAAAACCATTCTCCATATACTCCAGTTCATTATCTGTGCTTCCAGTTGTGTAATGCATGACTGCCGATTACTAGCATATTTTAGGTAAGATTAACCTTTGAAAAGTTGAATTCCCTATGAATCTAAATTAACATCCCTATACCATTAAGAAAGTAGGCCTTCGGAATTGTAAAACAAACAATTTTAAAATTAAATCTAAGGTTTTAATTGTAGCTTGAGAGATTTTGTTGGTTTTGATTGTTTGTGTGGTTATTTTTTAAAAATCATGATCATCTTTCTAAAGACAAGACATTTCTTGGAGCTAAATGTCCAAGGAATTCCTGAACTTACATAAACCTAACACCTATAAAAATAAAAACTATAAATATGGCACCCCTGTTTTTTAGAAAAATGGACCCCTTTTTTAGGCTCTAGTGTTAGGTGTTTAATTCAAAAATGTGCCTTTGTGTATTTCCCAGTAGTCAGAACCCTGGATCTGCTATATCAAGACTGTGTGTCTTAATTAATTCTTATTCTTACAGGACCACATACAAGTATGACACAGTTGATCACATTTTAGGCCCTCCTTTCACTTAATGGGATTACTTAAATTCCATAAAATGAATATCTCCATGCAAATTGGGCATGTAAAGCCTTAGAACACATTTTGTGGAAAATATTCAGACCACTTTAAATTTTCCATTGTGTACCCATTTTCTCTTTGTTTTCCAAATCTCTGACGCCCATGCACAAGCCATTCGGTGTCCATCTTAAACAGTAAAGGTGCTGGTTGTTCCGTCCCCTGGTTTAGACGCAGACCTCTAGCTCCCTGTGATAGCATTTACCTTTTGCCTCATTTTCTCCATGTTTGTGCGTGTGGCCCGGCTGTAGGTAAGAAATCCAAGCCTTGCTTCAGCTCGCTCGCCCACCCCTGCTTCTCTGTTGTGAACGCTACGCATTGGCTTCCTGTGCTCTGCTGTTGTATTGCAATGTAAAAAGTCTTTTGTCTCTTCTGTCTTTGTCGCTGCAAGCTGCTAATCTGAATGAGGTGGAAAAAGGTTAGTTGCCTTTTAAGTCTATTACGATTTTCATTTTAGTCTCCCTCTTTCTTGTAAAGTTACGTAGATTTCACTGTGTGTACATGGTAAAAAGGAATGTTGACAAAATATAAAATCTGAAAACAATATGTCAAATCAGTCATTCAGATCTTTAATCTGTACCTCACTATGCCAAACACTATAAAATGGGCCTCTGATATGCAATTTATCTATTGTTAGAAGATAACGAATAGAAACTTTTTGAGTGGGAAGAAGGGGTGGCTAGAATAAGGGACTAATATAAATTTTTTAAATTTTCTACTTGTCTGTATGCTTCCACTTTTTAAATATGTCACAAACATGTATTACTTTTAGAATGAACCACATAAGTTATTTAGTACTGTAGATAAGGCTGCAGATAGAAAAATGTTTAAGTAAGAAAGACTGTTCCCATAACTTTAAGCAGATATCTTTAGTAACGTGAAACATGAAAAATATTTGAAGGTGTATACATTTATTGAAACACTTTAGGAAATAAATATTATAAAGCCTAAGAAGTTGACTTACAGGATGTCATGACTACTAGGCAGTATGTTTAAGCATCAAAAAGCCATATTTAATCATTGACATCAATATGATCCACCCAGCTCCCCAAATACATCAGGACCCATAAAAGTAAGCCGTAGAATTATTAGAGTGATAGCTGTGTCTGGGAAATCATCATGGAATATTTATGACATTTTATCTTAAAGACTCAGAGTTTTAACTAATTACATTAGATTGTTAATTATTCAGCTTACTAAAAGT